GGGCATGTGCAGTTTGAATGGGCATGACGCCTCTGCCTGAATTGTATTTGATTGTTTCATTTTTACTTCTAAAATTTTTGTTAAACAAATTTTAAATGTAAGCAGTATTTTATATATGTTTAAATTACATAAGTATGTTGTATTAATAACTGCACTCATTGAAAATAAGGAAAGTTAAACCAGTAGTTTTATGGAGTATAAAGGTTTAGAGGAAACAAGTGCAAATTACTATTGCTAATTACAATATTAGCATTTATTTATTTATTTGTTTCAAATATTTACATTACCTTAACTTGTTGGGTCTACTCAGTTTTATTTGTCATGGTACCAAATGTAGTTACTCAGATGTAGGCCTACTTTTTTTTTTTTACTTACATTTACTCAGTTCCTAAGGTATATTTAAATTCATTTAACTGCTTTAAAAATTATTCAGTATTTTGAAGTGTAAAAATGTTTCACCAAAAAAAAAAAAAAAAAATCGAATAGATCATAGTTTATTTTTTTTAGAATATAATTCTTACTACTAACATTTTCAATCTCTCTAGTAAATTTTCAATTCACCTATAAAGTCTCCTCAAGTCTACACATTACATCTGACAAGTTAAAAAAATAAATAAAACTAGTGAAGAACTAGAAAAACGTACTGTTACGTATATAAGTAAATATAACAATAATAGATAGGCTACTTGTTAAAGGGGTCATATGATGCGATTTCAATTTTTCCTTTCTCTTTGGAGTGATACAAGCTCTTGGTGCATAGATAAGATCCCTGAAGTTGCAAAGACTAAAGTCTCAAATCCAAAGAGATATTCTTTATAAAAGTTAAGAGTCAGCCACACCTACCTAAAACGCCTCATTCTAACACGCCCCCACATGTCTACGTCACGATGTGGGATGATTTGCAAAACGCCGCTCAAATGTTCACGCAAAGAAAGAAGGCGTAACTTTTATTCTCGCTGTAGTATTGTTGTTGCCGCCGCCGCCATGTCATGAAGGCGCTGTGTTTCGTTGTGAAAGCGAAACTACTTTGTTTGGCCTTCCAAAAGAGGACGATATCGCTTCGTCATGCCTGGAGCTGATCCGTGCTGGTCGCTGAGGAAATACTTAAACTTCGAGCTGTCGATCGCCGGATCGGCTTTCACCGTGGATGAAGCGGAGTCCAGCCCGGGGTGTCACATGTGGTTGCCGCAGGCATCACA